GGCTGGATCGCGCTACTTCCACCGATAGGATGCGCAAAATCGAATGTATTTACTATTAGATAATTGAAGTGTGCACTACTATATGTGCGTGTGTGTGTGAGTATATACGTTTGCATGTGAGTGGGTGTGTGCGAGTGTGAGTGTATGTGTGTGTGTGTGTGTAACAAAAAGAGAGAACGAACAGATATCCGGTCACACGACGGTCTTTTATCCATCGAGTGAGAAAAATATGACGGATCCCCCGGTGCTTCAATCGATCGAATGAGTAAAATGGTATGAATCTAGCGCAAGAAAGTGAAACTCTGTGTTGCACACCGAACATGTTCGGAGCTTTTCGAACGTCCGAACATGTTTGGGTGTTCGGTCGAACGCCACCCGAACGTGTTCAGCCGAACATATTAAAAAAAAAAAAAAAAAAAAAAAACGTTTTTGGTTTTTTATTTTTAACTCGAGTTTGGTTATGATTTTGAGCATACCTCCAGGGCAAACGCTGTTTTTATTATTATTTTACATCATATATATTTTTTGCAGATTGTTTGGAGAACGTTTTTTTTTTTTTTTTTTTTTTTTTAATGTTTGCGTTCGGAGAGTTTCAGTGGTCGTTCGAGTTCGGTCCCGAACGTTCGGGTTCGGTCACCGAACCCAAACATGATGCTACACAGGCGAAAATATACACTACTTGTGTTTGTGTGTGTGTTTGTGTGTGTGTTTGTGTTTGTGTGTGTGCGTGTGTGTGTGAGCGATCACGCAGCCGAACTCATGCTACCTCCAGCGATAGAATAAGCAAGATCGAATGAATCTATCGCCGGGTATGTGTGTGTGTGTGTGACACACACAACACAAACACACAAAACCTTTCGGCGAACGACAGGTTTTGGACCATTTCTCGATTTATGCGTGTCATCCTTGCGCAGGGGTCATGCTTATCTTCTATCTATCGTTCGAAAACGACGAGAAGTGCGCCGACGAGTTCGAACGATCGCATGGGCCATGCTAATCTTCTTTGTATCGTTCCCAAAAAAAAACCCTGTTCTCTCTCTCTCTCTCTCTCTCTCTCTCTCTCTCTCTCTCTCTCTCTCTCTCTCTCTCTCTCTCT